TTTCCTGGGACAGTCGGGTGGCCCCGAGAAGGCTGCTCTGGACTTGCTGGGTCCAAGATGCTGGGCCTCTCCGGCCAGGTGCAACCTCTTACCCTCTCTGAGAACAGGAGCAAGAAAAATTTTTACCGCAGTGTGAGAGAGCCCCCAAAGTTTCATAAGAGGCACTCGTGACAAATGGTTACAGAAGGGGGAAAAAGTCACCCCTGGAAACTTATCTAAGAATATATCATGAGGTGGGCTATTTTGGGACTCAAATTATACAGGAAGGCCTAGGAAAATAGACGTGTGCGGGGATGAACACAGCCACAATTAATGCTAACTATAAGGTGTCATATCTTCACCGAGCACTCAGCCTGCAGTGTGCACAGCAGAGGGTGAGAGGAAGGTGAATTAGAGCCAAGTGCCCTGGCAGTGTCCTCGGAGGAAGGAAGAAGGAGGAGAAAGGGGAGCCTGGGGGGACTCACCGGAGCAGGCAGGAGTTCCCAGAAGGTGGCAGTCACCTTGGGCAAGGTGGCCTCTGAGGTTGGAAAGGCAACCTCCAGACTGTGGGAAACTCCAGACTCAGAACCAAGGGACCAGTAGAGGATCAGTGGCTTTCACAGAGCGTCACCCCCTCAAGGAGTGTCCCCGGGCCCAGATTAAGCTCAATTACCAAACAATCTGTAGGGCCTGGCCTCAAAGAAATCAGTTTCCACCTCTGGTCAGGTTCTTAAAATATCGCAATAGTAATGCATGGAATTTGTCTGGGGTTGGCAGGGGTAGGGGGTGGGGTAGGGTAGAGGGAGCGGGCCAGGCTGCGTATCAGGCTGTCAGCAGACAACCCTGAACATACATCTCACCAACTGACCTCAGTTGACCCACAATAATCTCTTCCACAATCTCCTTTAACAGGTGGGGACTCACAGAGAGACCAGTCCAATAAGATAATTGTACATTAAATGCCTCTTTGAACTACAACCTCTGTGAATGTCATGGTGCCACTTATTACCTTGCCTTATGAAGATTGCTGTTTCGTTTCGTTTTTCCGGGTTGGGGATGGAATCCAGGACCTCACACATGCCAGGGCAAGCGCCCTGCCACTGAGCCACATGCCCCACCCTTTGCTATATTTGACTTCCAGCTAAACTAAGGGAATCACCAGGGCAGCTAGCTATTATGTCTCTTTTCTTCTCAATGGCAAGCATGTTATCTTTCACATGTAAACCTCTCAAAAGTGTCGATTGGAAAAGTAAGTCATTGGTATGTAAATGTGAATGTGACCAAAAAAAAGACCACCGTGAGTTTCCTATCAGATCTGGGAAAGATCTTTTCCAATGTGAATTGTTTCTAAAATATTCTACCCTGCCTCTAGCCTTCTATCCAATCCCATGTCACATAACATTTGTGCCCCTTGAGAGTAAAAGTCATGTTTTAATCATTCAAGTTCAATGTAAGCTCCAAGTGGACCCCTAGTACCCAGAGCAGGTCCTTGTGCTAAGTAAGGCTCAATAAGGTTTGGTAAATTTTTGGATGAATGACTTCTCACCCTTAACACCATGCTAGACACATGGCAAATGTTTATTGAATTCGTAGGTTGTTAAACAAGGTAAATATTTTCTCTTTCTACTACCCCTTTCTAACATTCTTGATTAAGACATGCAGCAAGGTGAGTAGGTTGACAGACTCTGGGGTCAGATGGTCTGGGTTTGAATTCTGTCTCTTCTACTTACTAGCTGGGTCACCAAGAGTGAGCTACCAAACCCATCTGTGCTTCAGTTTTCTTACCTGTAAAATGAGGGTAACAATTTTTCTAATAGGATTCTATAATTCATTTAAATTATAAACTATGTTGTGTTTGGTACACAGTAATTGCCACTATTTTTTGTTTGTTTGTTTGCTTGTTTTATGGTCTCTGAATCTTCAGTGGCTCCCCTGTAGCTACAGAATAAGATCTAAAGTCAAGGTCCCCACAACTTGGCCCCAATGTCCTTCTCTTTCCAGTCAACTTCCTAAACTTCAACACTCTTTATGGGTAGCTACCTGTGCCAGACTTTTTGCAAAGTGGTACATATCCAGCAACGGGTTTCCCCTTCTTAAAGAATCCCATGAGGTAGAACTTATTACTGCCTGAATTTCTCTGACAATGAAACCAAGTCCCCATCTGGAGAAATAATGCTCCTAGGGACAAACACTAATTCTGGGAAAGCTGGGTCCATTCCAGGACCCACACAACAGAAGTCTGTGCTCTTATTTGCCAGCTCTGATATCCTTGCCATGCCAAGCTCAATCTGTGGGCCAACACTCCTAGCACAGCCTAGAAATTGGCAGAAATGCAGAATCCCAGGCCTGGTAGTCGTCTTCTGAATCAGAAGCTGCATTTTTAACCTGGGGCCATAAGGCATGGGAGGCACAGGCTCTAAACCACTTTAACAAGTCAGACCCAAATAATAATTAAATCAAATGCACGATTTCATCTAACCCCTGCAACAATCTAGGAGGTCAAGAGAGGTCAGCACCATTATCCCATTTTACAGATGAGGACACTAAGGCTCTGAAAGGGGTGGTAACTTGAACTGAACCCACATGTGCCTGGCACCAGCATGATGCTCTGACCACACCCAGTCTAACTCCCTCTCCCCACCTTCAATTCTTCTTCTTTTAGACTCAGAGCCCTTTCCTACTGAGTGAAGCCCATCTTATCCACATCCTACTGGGCAGATAAGTGGCTTTTTTCTTCATATTCTCCACAGATCCCTGAACATATAACTTCTTCTTGGCCCTAATTCATTGTTTTCTTTAAGAAATATGTACTGAGCACCAACCGTGTGCCAGGCATATAGTAGGCACTGAGTAAATGTTTGTTGAGCCAGTTTGCTTCCCAAGCATTTGACTGTTGTTTATTAAAGTATTTCCATCACTCTTACTATCCACCTTTGCTTTGTTTTCCCTGTCTGTCCCTCCCACTGATCTAAGTGCCTCTGTGTCCCCAGAACACAAAGTCTGGCATCTTGTAGGGCCTCAAGTCATTAGAAAACAAACTAAGTGCTCTCCCATCTAAAGATGGAATTTGCCTATAGTACTTAACAATAGAGTATCATCAGCCTTCTAATTTCCAAGAGTGGCAAAGGACAGATGGGGTGACAGGCACCATGTACTGCTCACTACCCCCAATCTTTGGGCTGGCACAGGGTATCAGAACTAGGGGGGCTGAGGTTGTAGCACAGCGGTAGATCACGTGCCTAGCATGTGCGAGGCCCTGGATCTGATCCTCAGAACTACATAATATAAATGAAATAAAGATTTTTTTTTTAAAAAAAGAACTGACTATGGTCACAAAACTTACAGATGTTTGAAAATCTAACCCTCATTTTTCTAGACCATCAAAGGAAGGCCTCGAAATGGTAACTGACCTCTTCACAACCTCTGGAAAGTAAAAAGGGCAGGGAGGTTACACGGTAGGAGAAAGATCTCCCAGACAGCGACAGTCCCCAGGGCTCTGCCTCTCCTGGGCAAAGCACATGTTTCTAGGCCTCAATTTCCTCTTCTGTGAAATAAAGGGGTTGGACTAGTTTCTAAAGCTCCTTCCAGCTCTTAAGATGCTGTGCTGTAAAATGAGAGAAATGTGAACCTTTAGTTGCTATGATCTGAAAATATTTTGAATGTGGAGAATCAAATTGTACAGAGCACAAGAATAAAATAATAAGTTAATGACTAAGAAGACTGTATTTAATCCAATGGGAAACAGCAGAGCTGCTGCTGCTACTGGTGGTTGTGGTGGTAGTGGTGGTGGTGGTG